AAAAAAAGCACTAGATTGTCCGGAAGCTCATTCCTGGTGGTTTTTACAGCTGTTCCCTGACTAACAAATAACAAAATTCAGTTTCACATTCCATCTTACATGCTGGAAAAGGTACAGATTGGGTGCCCTCTACATCCCCACCTTTCCCTGTCTGTAATATCCTTGGGTTTTATGCTTGTTGATCTACCCCACACACACCTTGTGTTGTCCCAGTTGGGCTCCAAGTCTTGTTCTTACCTGTTGTTGACGAAGAGACTCAGAGTTTCCTTTTTCTGCTTTCTCCTTTCACGGCTTCTGTCCCTGTTTGGTTTGGGTGTCAGCCAAATGCTGGCAGTGAAGACAGTTCACAACTTGCCCCTCCTTTTCTGTCCAGAGCAGCTGTTTCATCAAATATTCTCCCGAAATCCTTTGTGATACCCTGACACAGTGAGTGATGTGAGCTCTGAGCAAGGGCAAAGTCTCCTTGAGGTGCTATTACACTCAGTCTCACCAGTTTGTGCAAAAAATTGGGTTTTCAGAGGTAAATTTGGATGTTTTCTTACAGCTGAAGAGGTGTTTTACCTGTCYAAGCTTCATGAACAAAATGTTTTTCCAGCCTCCTGAAGCGATTTACACCGTCAAACTAAAGCCTCATCAGTGTTTGGTAGTTCTGAGTATTTTAAAATGAGGTCTTGTTGCAGGAAGCAGAAGTGTWTGTGCCCTTAGAAGCTTCATCTGTGTTATTTAAAGGAGATACCTGGCCCAAGGATCAGGTCAGTCCTCAAAACTGTGCAGTTCACACTATGTGGAATTTGGATRCTTCTGGAAGATGCTGAAGCCCTGGTCAGGGTTACAGGGTTGAAAAGAGAACCACCTGTGAGTTTTACCTTAAAAGTATGCTTTAAAAAAAACCTGATTGCTGTGGGAGCTTTGCTGCCTTTTGAATCTTGGGGTGGGTACAAGGAGCAGATGCTGCTGCAAGATCAAATGTATTAATAATGCTATAATAAAAAAGTTCCACTTCAGAGCCGCTTCTTAAACCACTTTCTAGAGAAACCGCCACCGATTCCATGGTCAGAGGGAAGGCCGTGACTGATGAGCCAGATGATGCCTGCTGGAAGCGAGGTGAGGGAAGCGCTGGGTGTCTCTGGGCCCAGCGCCTTCTTCCCCTCAGCAGCAGTGGAGGAAGGACCCCGGCATGGGGGGCAATCCTTTGGGAGTGTTCTGTGGGACGTATCCCGGCTGGTTCAGCACTGGAGCGCTGAGGGGAATATCTCCCGGGGCGCGCGGGGGAGCAGTTCTGGAGGCACTGAGGGAACCGTGCCCGGGATTCTGAGGGAACCATCCCCGGGGCACTGAGGGAACCATCCCCGGGGCACTGAGGGAACCGTGTCCGGGGATCTGAGGGAATCGTGTCCGGGAATCTGAGGGAACCGTACCCGGGGCTCTGAGGGAACCATCCCCAAGACTCTGAGAGAACCGTGCCCGGGGATCTGAGAGAACCGTCTCCGGCGATCTGAGGGAACCGTGTCCGGGAATCTGAGGGAACCGTGCCCGGGGCTCTGAGGGAGCTATGCCCGAGGATCTGAAGGAACCATCCCCGGGGCTCTGAGGGAACCATCCCCGGGGCTCTGAGGGTACCGTGCCCGGGATTCTGAGAGAACCGTCCCTGAGGCTCTGAGGGTACCGTGCCGGCGTTTCTGAGGGAACCATCCCCGAGGCCCTTGAGGGAGCCATGCCCAGGACTGTGAGGGAACCATCCCCGGGGCTCTGAGGGAAGCAGCCCCCGCGCTCCCCCTCAGAGCCGCCGCCGCCGCCCGTGCGCTCCTCGAAGCTCCTTCCCACCCCCGGGTGCCCGTGACATCGCGGAGGGGCGGGACCGGGGCTCGGCGGAGTCGCCTCAGGGCGGCTCCGTGAGGGGGGCCCGGGGCGGCGGTGATCGGAGCGAGCCCGCCCACCGGGGCTCGGCCGGTTCTGCCCCCGGAGGGATGCGCGGGACTCCGGTCCCCGGGACGCCAATCCCGCTGTTTGCCCAGGGCTSCTGCCCGCTCAGCCCTTCTCTGCGACCGGGCGCTCCCCGCAGCCCGCCTCGCCGGCGGGGGCCGGGCACGGTGCGGCCCCGGGGCGGAGCGCGGGCGGTGCCCGCAGCCCCGGAGCGGTGCGGCGGCGGYGGCGGTACCCATGGCCCTGCCGGCGGAGGCGGACCGCCTGGATGGGGGCTGGCAGGAGGTGAGCGAGCCCCGCCGGCATCGGTACCCTTGGGGACACCGGCTGTCTCCTCCTCGGGACCCCGCTGTGCGCGTMTCTTCTCGATCCCCTCACGATCCTTCCCCCGTCCCGCGCCCTGTTCCGTGCCCGGCGGCACCGGCAGTGCTGGCAGCACTGCCCGATCCTACCCCAGTCCCCGTTACCGGTCTGTGCGACTTATTCCTCTTCGGGACCCCGCTATTCCCGATCCCCGGTCCGTGCTTCCCTTCCCCGGTACCCCGCGGCTCCTGGTCCCTGTCCCCGGTCCGTGCTGCCAGCTCTTTTCCGGGACCCACCAGTTCACTTTCCCAGATCGGCACTGCCCGTTCCTATCCCGAWCCCCGGTCCGTCTCGCTCCTCCCCGGGCTCCCGATCCCCGGTCGGTACTGCCCGCTTCTCCCCGGGACCCCGCTGTCCCTGGGCGCTTCTGTCGCACCTGGGACCATATCACCTGAGCTCCCTCCCGTCCTTCCCCCCAGGTCTATTCTGCGCTTCAGTGGATCCAGTTCACTATGGCCATGCTCAGGTACGTCATGCTGCCCAAAGAATTACTATCACGAAGATTATTTTACCCAGAAATATAAAAAAAAAAGAGAACTCGCGTCTCCCAGCGAGGCAGACGCACTCCTGTTCTAACCTGTGTTTTTTTTTTCTCAGCGTTGTAGGTTCCAGCTCAATTATTGCCTATGCCATCTTCCAAAACGCAGTGCGGTCCCCCGAGGTAAGGTCTGAGCTTCCTTCTCCCTCCTAGAGCTGTGGGGTCAGTCCCTCACACCTGAAGGACAGACTCTCTCCTAGGAGCAGTTGCAGGTYTGCAGGTCTCTCCTTGTTTAATAGCTGGGAGGCAAAGAGCTTGCTAAGAATTGGGCTCTTTGTCTTGGTAGGAGATGAAGGGCCTGACCTTGAACTKGTGCTTCTGCAGGSAGAAGCAGGTTCCTTAGTCCCGTGCTTTCTGCTGCTCCAGGAAAGTCTTCCAGTCATTCCTGGGAGCAGGGRTTTCTTAGCCTGTCCTTCTTTGTGAGGCCAAATTTCTGGATGGCTGAGGAGCTGTGCATAAACCTGCTGAAGTGCAAATTAGAGTTGCCCCTGCGGAAATGCTTTTACAGGTGTAGGACTTTGACTGTCTCCAAGGAGTTTTTCTGGGCAGGTGTGCTACTAAAACTGATCCCACTCAATGCTTAGACAAAAAGAGGCTGAAAAGCAGTTTGGGGTGGAATTCCAGGGAATTCAGGGAGTTATCCCTGGAGAAGGAAGGAATGGAGGCAGCTGACACATCGTTGGATGACAAAGGGTWGGAAGGAGAACATGAGTCCATGTTTGCAGGGTCAATCTGTCCCACTTAAAACAGGCACAACTCTCGCTCCCAGCCAGCCTCCTGGAAATGCTCTGCCCAGAGCATCCAGAATAAACCGTGGAGATCTCCATGCATTCCCAGGGAAGAATGAACACTGGGACTTCACCTGAGTGCTGTCATGGAAAACCTGCTTGAGCTTCTGCTGCTCAAAGCCTCCTCCTACCACATCTGCACCAGATGCGACTCCTTCCTGGGGTCCTGCACTCTGGAATGATGTGGAGCTGGGTTTGGCAGGTGTGCTGGTGTGACTCAGCAGCCTCATCCCGTTGGCTTCCATGGCCAGAAGCCCGGTCACTCAAGAGCTCTTTGCTCAATCACGTGGTGGGGCTGTGGCTTGGAAGCTGCTCGTGAGCCACACATGGCTCCAGGTCACCAACGGGCCCTTCCTGCTCCAGAGGGTCCAGATGTTTCTGCTCAGATTATTTCTGCAAAGCCGGATAGGAGGGCTGGATGCCAGCTGGAGGGACTGGTTTGCATCAGCCTTCCAGGCCCCTCTTCTGCTGCCAGGGGAGAGCTGTTGCTGGGTTTCAAAAGTGCCAAAATCTCCAGTAACTTCCCCATCGTCTTGTCCTCATGTCTGGGGTCTGAAGTGGAAGTTTGTAAACAAAAGAGCTGGAAGAGATCCATGTCAATGCTTGCCACAAACAGCTATTCCCTGAGTCATGAGGATCCACAGCAAAACGTTTWAAAATAAACAGCTCTGGGGGCTGGGAAGAGAAGGATCTTAGAGACATTTCCCCTCCTGCCCCCAGCCTCAGGAGATGCATTCTTGAAGCTTGTTTTCTGTCTCTATGGGGCCAATAAAACTCTTTGGCCTGAGGTAAATCATTCAGAAGAGATGATGGCAAGCAAGGAAGAAACCTCAGCTCAACAGGTTTGAGAAAACCCTCACCTCGACAGGTTTGAGGAAGAACCTTCAGCTCAACAGGTTTGAGGAAGAACCTTCAGCTCAACAGGTTTGAGGAAGAACCTTCAGCTCAACATGTGCCCGGGCCATGGCCACAGAGCCAAATCCCCGTGTGTGCTGCAGCTCCAGCTGCCAGGATGTAAATCATTACATCTTTGCCGTCCCTTCCTCTATTTTATAAATACCAGTGGTTATTTTCTTTCCCCTTTTTCAAGCCAGAACCACACTTGCCACTATGTCACCTACTTCTTTWTTCAGGGCTGTGCCAAAACAGCTCCTCGACCCACCAGCAGTGCCTTGCTCCAAGGGCACTTGTGCTGGAGAAAGAGGTCACCTGTTTGATTGCAAAAGTTGCTTTTTTGATTATTTTAGAGCTGTTTGGTTTAACCTGCCTTGATCACAAACTGGACAGTGTCCCCAGCCTGTCGTGCCAGGGATTCATTTCTGCACCAGCAAGGAAAAGCCTGGTTAAAAAAAAGGCATTTATAGATAAAATTAAATAAAAATTAACTCCAGCTCTTTATGCCTTGTGCTCCTTCATGCCCTAACGACAAATCTGGCTCAATCAGATCTACCTTAACTCTCATCAGTCTTCCTAAATTCTTTCTCATTGCACATGGGAACAAGTATAACAATGTAATGGATCGCATACACTTACTTCCAGGACAATATTGAGGCAAATCTCACCAAAAGCTCAACTCCATAAAAAGAAATATAAAATCAAAACCTCCTGGAGTGTTTCTATGCTGTGTTTAGCTTATAATTTTCTGTAGGGGAAGAAACCCACAGTAATTTTCTCTCCTGGATGCTGAAAATGAGGTACCAAAGGCTTCAATTAAGAATGTAGATAATTAGGCTGCTTTTCCAGAGTCTCTGCTTTCCCACTAACAACGAAATTGTTGGCCAGAATTTTGCACAAATGTTTTCCTGCAGTGTTTACAGTCCTGGCCAGTGTGTGCAAAGTGGAAATGGGCTGGAAACTGTTGTTAAAGGAGACGTGACAGTTCCAGCAAGATGCAGCAGAGACTAATGGCTCTCAGTGGAAACTAATCCGGCGTGTAAAATAAACCCAGCCTTAGTCACCGTCTGAAATGACATGGAACACGTAGAAAAATCTTTCTTTCGAGTCATTCCAGAATTGAGAAGGGCTTGTGTTTACCAAAAGTTTGATTTGTCTGTGAGTTTATTTAAAGCATGTTGTCTCTTCTCCCTGTCCCATTCTGCAAAACTGTAACATTATGGATATTTGGGATATTTTCTGTGAGTTTTRATGCTGCTATTGGATCCTGTGGCAGAAGAGGTGGTTAGAGCAGAGTGTGTGCATTGGAGCAGCTCCTGAGGGCAGAAATCCATGTGGATTTTGTCTGCAGGGAGAGTTGTCTCACCAGAAGAACTGGGGGGGTGACAGTGTTCAGATCACACCAGATAATCTGGTATTGATGTCTTTGCCCAATTAATCTTTCTGCTATAATTGTGTAATGATTTTAAAAGGACTTTAAACAAGGGTGATTTTCAGGAGTAAAGGTTGAAATATTTTCATCTGGTAACTTTTCTTTGAACTTGCTTGGCTGTGAAAGTAGAGGAGACTTTTTTTACTTGAAACTCTTAGGGTTTGCTGCAGATTAATTGACTGGTCTCAGAAATGTCCTTCCCTGAGGGTAAAATCATCCCTTCATGAGGTGCTATTTATGTCCCACTTTCCCTCAATTAAGGCTTCCAAGACAATTTTGCAGTGGGACACTATTTTCTACTGAAACACTTTCCTCACCTGCAGAAAAGCCTKTGGAAGGCTGTATTTGATATTTTTATGTCTGATAATGGGTAAAACTGCAGCTGTGGGGGAATGKGGGAGGGCTGTGACTTTGCTCACACCTGCTGAGCCTTTTCCCTTTTCCAGGTGCGTCCACTTTTCTACCTGAGCCTCTCAGACCTGTTCTTGGGCATGTGCTGGCTGGCTGGGGCCCTGCTCTACAGCTCACCCACCTCCCAGCAGGACCTCATCTGCTACAACCTGCAGGCCACGGGMCAGGTGAGTGGCCTTGGCACCACATTCCATAATTAACCTCATAATTCATCATAATTAACCTCTCTGGTGATCAGAGCATGGCCGTGGGGGCTGTTTCTAGACAGGCTTTAGCAGAGATTCCCCGTGGGAACTTGGCTTAGYAGATCTCTTGGCTTTGTGTGGAAAAGGGAGATAATGACACTGGGGTTTAGGATGCTCTGGTGTGTGAGAGGAGAAGAGAAGGTGGGACTTTGTGKTTGCTTGTGTGAAGTGAGCAGATGGGGCTCAACCTCTTTGGATCTGTGCCCATGGATCTCTGTGCTCTCACATGGCAGCTTCCCTATTCCTCTTCATGCTTCCTCCAGCCTGGGCAGGAGCAGACACATTCTGTGACTTGCTCAAGCTCAGACTTAAATTACTCACATGAACATCCCAGTTCTTGCTCTTTCCAAGGATGCTCCATCAGCACAAGCTCAGCCTGTGTCCCACTGACTCAGCTGCTCTCCAGCTGGTTCCCTGTGCTGRGGGGCAGTTGGAGGAGGGTGTGAGCACTGTTTTCCTGGTAGTTTGCTRTTGTCTCGCCCAGTTCCCATTTCAACACCAGGCTTTGGAAATCTCAGCTCTCAAAAGCCTCTGCAGGATTCATCTGAGCTTGGGCCAGGGCAGGGCTTCATAAGTGATAATCCCTGGAAATTATGATTTCCTTTTAAAGGACATGGATGGGAAAAGGAAGGGGCTTTTAGAAGCTTTGATGTGTGGGCTCAGGCAGCTCCCTGAGAGTGTGGTGGTAGCCACAACTGGGAGCTGAATGTCCTTGTGGAGCAGCAGCATCCAAAGCTGGAAAGGATCTGTGTGCCTMAGAGAGGGCAGGGAAAAACCTGCAGGTGCAGGATGGAATTGTTCCTGCTGTCTGGGAATGGGCTCCTGCAGCCCAGAGCTGTTTCAGCAGCTGTGTTTGGGGATAAAATGTGTTGCTGAGAGCAGCTGTTCCACTCCAGGCTCCTCTCTGGTCTCTCCAACTCTGCTGTGCTGCTATGGAGACTCCACAATATGTTCATGTTGAGAGATTAAACTGTGGGATGTGGGACCTGGCCACTTGGGAAAGATGCAGAACAACATCAAAGATGTCTTTGAGGTGATGGTGCAGGAAAAAATAAGGAGAGTTTGGAAAGGCTTTCAGAGCTGGAAGGTGGAAGGAGCAAGSAGGAACTGGGGGCACTCCTGAGCTATTTCCCTTGCCTGGGGGACAGATCTTGATGCTGGTGTGATCTTTGCATGGCCTGGAGAAGGCAAGCTGCACTGCTAGAGGAGAAATAAGTTGGATATGGACAATATGCCCAGAATTTCTCAGCTCTCTTGCACTTCTGGCTCTTTTSTGCCCTCACTTTTCCAGCCTGTAAGTGCTTCCCACAGGATGGGACAAGRTGGGAGCTGTGTTTTCATGCTGGGTGGGCAGAGCTGGCCTTGGGCCAGTMCTTCCAGGTGTGGTGGGGTCACAGAGTCACATCCTGACCTTCAGTGTCCCCTTTCTCCTCTCCTTTGTGCCACCACCAGTCCCCACAGCACAGGGACTGCCTGGGTGGCAGAGCCGGATTGAGCCTGGCAAAAGCTGTCGCTGCTGTTTGCTCTGGGAGAAATTAAAACAAACTGAGCCCTTGCCATAGCAACCTTTCCCCCAGGGCACGTGACAGTGCAGGACCTCCTCACCCAACACCCTGCAGTGCCCTTGAGAGGTGGGAACACCTTGTGCGTAAGAAGGAGCCGGTAACAGGTTGAACCAGCAGCTTCTGCAGAGCAGGAGGGATTTGTAACCAGATGGAATGAGYAAATAAATGTCTCTCTGTGTTTCTGGGTGTCTCACAAACACCTGTGGCTTCTCTGCACGCCAGCACCCAGAAGGTGCTGGATGTGCCAAGGTGAGGATGAGTAGGGACAGTGGGGTTTGCAGCCCTTGGAGAGACTCGGACTGGAGTCCTTGTGATGTCTCAAGGCACTGCCATAGGAGCAGGACAATATTTTCCTCTATTAAGGCTGTTTGCCATCATTTGTCACCACAGGCTTGTGTTGCAGTGGATGGAGCTGGCCCAATGTCCAAATTGTGTCATAAAGGAGGAGATTRCTTTGTTCCTTGGATTTTCCCTGTTTCAGCTCTAGAGCTATGATTGATATTAATGTAAATACTGCTCYCTTTGCTGTCCCTCGTTCTCTCCTCCTCCTGCATTGCAATAATAAAGTGCAGAATAGAGATTGTGGTTATAATTGCACAATTCCCCCACRTCCTTCCAGTTCATTTCCAGTGGCCTAATAATCTTCTGGCAGGCTCTGCTCATGCTGGGGAACACAATGGGAGCCACACAAGTGGGATAATGAGGGATTCTTGTGTCTCTGCTTTATCTCCTCACGGGCAGTGCTGCAGAACTGTCCCCAGCCCCAAGCTGGGGCTCAGGAGAGCAGAATTCCCTTCCCTTCCTGCTGGCACCTTCAAGTGGCATTTGGTTCCCTTTCCAGAAGGCAGCGCTGACATTTTATGAGCCTCTCCCAGGCGTCCTGAAGTGCAAGAGAACGACCCTTGTGGACTGKTTTGATGGCCTTCTCTGGGAGTAGTTAGAAAAGGGCAACAGCCCCTCATTAAAGCTCATTTAATGAGCTGGAAAGTCACTGCAATGTTCCTGTGGCAGCCCTTGGACTCAGCCTCTTGAGCCAGCTAAGAGCATTCACAGGCTCAGTGAAGGAGGCCAAGTTTGTTTAGTSACCATTTTCCCAGCTGTGGATGATACCAGGGTGGTGAACCTGTGCTCCTTATCTTTTTGGCAAAGGGTAGCAAAGCCACAGAAAAAAATTCCCTTGTCCAGCCCTTCCTCTTTGCCACTGAAGTTTTGTATTTCCTGTAACAAACACAGCACACTCATGTATGTCGTCTGATTAGGCAGCCTGGAGCAAGCATGAATTTGGAAACAAATGCAGAAAAGATTTGGGGGAATTTATAGGAAATTTTCGATAATTGGTCTCATCTCAAGTTGGAACTAAAGGCTATGAAACTCTCAGCGTGCTCTGTCTTTTCTCCTTTTTCCCATGGAGGGAGAAAAGGTTTTTGGGATGTTAACTCAGGCTGAGGGAAGAGAATATCTGCCCTTACATTCCTCTTGAAATATCCAATTGTTTTCTGTTTCCGTGAATTCTCTGCATAGTGAGCTCATTATGCAAGAAGCAGATCTAAATGTCACATCTGTGCTGTGTTTCCTAATGGAYGTAGCATTGAGAGGGTCCAAGTGCCTTTGAAACCCTCATTGCCAGGATCTGAGCCAAAAAAATGACCCAGATCACAGAGATTTGTGCTTCTAGGTCCTGCTGTCATTAGTTTTCCTGTCCCCTGTCTGAGGACAAAGTGAAGCTGCTTTTGTGTGATTTAAAGTAGGAATCTCTCCTCAACCTGGCTCTTCCCAGCAGGATGTAAGCACAAAGGCTGTGCAGGGACCCTCACCTTTGGCAGGTATTCAGCATCCTGCCTCTGTTCCTTGGATGTGGGAGGAGTTAAACATGCTACAGGAATTATTATTCCAGGACTGAATTACTGCTTTTATTTCTCAGATATTCTACGTGGCCTCTTTTCTCTACACTGTCAACTACACGTGGCACCTGTACACAGACCTCAAGGTGAAATACAACCAGAACCTCTTCAGGGTGCCCCCCCAGGTGAGTGGGATTSATGTGGGGCTGGTGCAGTGGCTGGGAACAGAGGGACAAGGACGCAGCACTCAGGAAAACTCTCCCTGCGTTRCAGGCTGAGCAAACACTTCACACACCCCGTGACTAAAACCTCTCCTTGCTGTTGTTTCCTCCCTCACACCTAAACAGGGAGGCACCACCAGTGCCATGATCAGGCTGTGGCTTCCCAGGTATTCCTGCAAGATAATGGCACATTCCTTATGCAGCTCTTCCCATCAAACCCATCAGCCYCACTGCCCTACACAGCTTCCCCAAACATCTGCTGTGCACAGCAAATTTTGTAACCCAGCTATTCCATCTGGAAGTTCAGGAGCAGCAGGCTGAGCAGATCACCCTCCACTGCTGAAATGCACCCTGAGAGCTCCTTCCTGTGAACCAGGGGCTGTGCAAAAATGATCATTTAATTAAGATTTTTGGATTTTGCAGGTTGTAGATTATGCAAGTTGTGTTGGCCGAATAGCAACAATCTTGTCAAGGTAAGATTTCATTCTCCCTGGCAGGATGGCCTGGGTTTGGTAAAATTTATTGCTCTCTGGCAGGAGGATGTGGATTTGCTAAAATTTAATGCTCCCTGGCAGGAGGATGTGGGTTTGGTAAGATTTAATGCTCCCTGGCAGGAGGGTGTGGATTTGGTAAACTGCTGTGTACTGATCTCTGCTTCCTACATGTTTTGAAACAAGTTTTACTCAAAGCTGTAAAGCTCATCATTAACAGCAGAGTGACCTCATGAATGCAGAGTAAAAGTTTTTTTTTCAACCAAGTTAATGATAACTTGATTAACTGGASGTAGTTTTCCAGAAGGTTTCCCTTTACCAATGATTAGCCCTCACAAATGAAAGCACCGATGTTGGTAAAGCTGATAAAATACTTTTCCAGAGCAGTGCCAATAAAAACAACTTTAAAGTCCTCTGTAGTGATGGGAGAAAATCCAAGCAGTGCCCAARTGGAGCTGTGCAATAACCCATGACTTTCTCCTCTCAGCCTGATCCCTTTCCTCCTYATGGTGCCAGTGTTTTGCCTGGGCAACAGCAGTAACTGCTACCAGAACTTCAGCCAGAAGCACGGGTGAGCTTCCTCCCTTCCCCTGGCACAGCCCCAGGGCTGCTGAGGGTGGGCAGGAGCTCAGCTCTTCCCTGTGCCCTCACAGGTGTCTCCTGATGCACACGGAGATGGCCGAGCCCACCAACGAGCCCCAGAGCCTGAGCGGCTCCGTTTGCCGCGCGATGCATTTCTACGGCATCGGGGTCTTCCTCATCTCCTTCCTCATCAGCTTCGTAGCCATCCTGGTAAGGCTGGTCTTTGTGTAGCCCTTGGATGGCACCAGGGCCAGACAATCATGGAATGGTTTGGGTGGGAAGGCACCTTAAAGCTCATTCAGTCCCATCCCTGCTGTGGGGAGGGACACCTTCCACTGTCCCAGGTTGCTCCAAGCCCTGTCCAGCCTGGCCTTGGACACTCCCAGGGATGGGGCAGCCACAGCTTCTCTGGGAAGATTTCTTCCCAATATCCCATCTAACATTCTCTGAATCCATTCCCTCTTGTCTGCTCTCGGTAAATATGGAAGGGGGATAACTGTGTGGTGCTGCTTCCCTTTTGGAAGGGGTGGTAAGGGAGTGAAAATTATCACTGTGCCACCATAGAAATCCATCTGGAGTCCTGTGTCGTGTTAACCCATCCCAGAAATATTTAGCAGGATTTAGAAGGCTTGGAGCTTGGCAGGAGAGATCACTTCCTGCATGAGCCAGCAAGAGGAGACTGATGGTTGGACTCCATAATCCTGGAGATCTTTTCCAGCCTTAATGATTTAATGATTCTAAAATCAATTCAGAGTCTTCAGTTTAGAAAAGGTGTCATGCAAAGCATTCCCCCAGGATTCCAGTGCTGTGTGAAAAGGTTGGATAAACCGGGATCCATTGTGGATGAACCCACCAGGTCACAGCCTGAACAATAACATCTCCCTGTTCTTTTCCAGGTTATCCTCAGCCAGGCCCGAGGTCTGTACAAAAGGTTTGTGAACTCCACAGGATTCCTGGGGGATCAGCAGTGGGCCATGATTAAGATGGTGGAACAACGGGTGGTTTTCTACCCCGTCGCCTTCTTCTGCTGCTGGGCCCCGGGTGAGCAGAGAATTCCTCCCTCAGCATCCCCCTGTGGAATTCCAGAGAGGTGAGGTTAACTTTACCCTCTCATCCATCCCTTTTCACAGCTGTCCTCCTTGGAATGCTGAAGCTGACTGCTTCAATAACCAGCAAAATCTACATGGCTCTGCTGATCCTGCAGGTAAATGTTCTGCCTCTGCTCTGCCTTCTCACCTTGAGTCTCCTGCCCTGCATCCAGTCCCTGCTGGATACAGCTGGATAAGGATCAGCTGTGTGAGCTCAAGTCTGGTTTTTGTTTTTGGTTGGCAAAGGTYTTGGTTAGGTGGTTTATGTTTTTTACAGCCTTTAAAAGGTCTCAGTCCCCAAAATGCCAACATCACGACAGTTTAGTGGTGAACATGGTGCTGAGTGGATATTTGGACTCGGTGATCTTAAAGGTGTTTTCCAACCTCAGTGATATTGTGGACATGGAAATTATAGTAAATAGGACCAGAAAGGATCCCCAGGAATTGGGGTTTTTTCCCCATGTCTCTAAGTTTTCCCTATGTCCCTAATTTTCCAAATGTGATTCCTTAACTACACTTGTCCAGCTTCTTCCTGTGCTTGAGGCAGAAGTTAGATTTTCTATTAAATTATATAGTTATTAAATTTATTTAATATATATTAAAATAGATATAAAATACATTTATATGGCATTTATATTTCATTAGATATTTATTCAACATTTCTTAAAATAACAACACAATTTCTCTGTCACATGGAAGATAAAATCATGCAGGAAGGGAGAGTTTTCCCAGGGAWCTCCGAGCAGGGTGCAGTGCTGTGTTCCCTGATCCCTCTGTGCTTTCTGCCAGGCTCTCACAGCGGCTTCCCAGGGGCTCCTGAACTGCCTGGTGTACGGCTGGACCCAGCACGTGTTCCTGTCGCTGAAGCGCGGCTCCCGGCGGGACGTGGACACCCAGACCCCGCTCCTGCGCTCCCAGAAGAAGTTCTACTCCAGCACGGCCCCCGCCGGCCCGCCCGACACCGAGGGCTCCTCCTCCACGCTGCTCTGATGCAGCCCTGCCTGGAAGGGGAGAGGCAGAATCCTTCCCATTCCTCGTCATGCAGAGCTGGGATCGAACTTAACTTCGGGCAGAACAGCCGGAGCCCCAGCAGGGCTGGCAGTCAGGCGCTTATTGGACATAGTTATTTATTTTATGGACTCTAAAGGGATTCTTTCAACATGGTAAATCTTTAGTCCAGACTTTCTCCTCCTGGAAATATCCCTAGAAAAGCAGCAAACCCCATGTCAAGCCTCACAGACCTGGTTCAGCTCCTTTGGAGGATTGATGATTTTTTACTTGGTTTTATTTCTCCAAGTCTTTGCCTTTACAAATTAACAGTAAAGCAAAAYGAGTATTTTTCAATTTCTGCCTTTTAATTCACTCTGACCGTGACAACGTGCACCACCCTGAAAGCCAACTGCATGGAGTGAAGAATTGCAAAACAGGACAAAAACATCCGTGTTCTTCTATSCCTGGAATTTTTGCACATTTCCCTTCTTCCTGCCAACTCCTGCTCCATCACAATAGTCCCAAAAATCAGCTGCTTCCACCATATGGAGCATCTCTCATGAACCAGGTRAGCAGGACTTGGTCTGAATCTCTCTTTATAATTCCAGATGTTCAAGTGATTTTTTTTTTACTGAGGTCACACCTTTCTACAGAAAATAAACCAGATCTTAAACTGCATTGAAAACAACTCTTTACATTTCCACTCTTTATTTTCTACCAGCTTCACTTTTTGGGTCCAACCCAAATTTTTCACATAGCAGGTTCTACAAGAAGAGGAAATGCTCCAGCTTTGTGTAATTAACTTACACAACATAACTGTGTAAACTCTGGGTAAGTCACACAAGGGCCCTGAAGTTTTGGTCAGTGACTTTTTTTCCTACAGAGTGAGACTGAAACAATTCGATTTTGCTGTTCTAAAGGATAAAAACAAGGTTTTCAGCCATCTTCTTCCACCTGGTCCTCCTCAGGAACCTGTTCTCTAGTCCCAAAGTTTGGATGTAATGTCCCGTCATGTGTCATGAATGATTACAGGGAAGTTTCTTATTCCAAAACTTTTCTGCCTGAGGTGAAACGTGTAATTTACCCCTTGAATGTTGGTGTTACAGAACACTCCATCCTGGCTGGTTTTCCCTGCCTAAGAGCCAAGTTTCCTTGGAATGTCTCACAGGCTGTGTAGCTCCAGGAGGGCAGGATGGGATCTGTGCCCTGGCACTGATAGGATGTGAAACACATCCCCAGAGCCTCCTGCACTCTCCTGGGACTGACCCCRTTTGTGGCACCAGTGCAATTTGTTTAAAAGGGGATTAAGGCTTCCTAAGTGATGGAAGATTACCCGGGGAACAATGATTGGATTGCTAATGGACCAGCAGAGCTGGCACTGGGTGTTGACACTCCCAGGGCTCCTCAGGCAGCTCAGCAGTCACTCAGTGTTTGTTTGAGGGGAGTTTTCCTGGTGGAAAGAGGCATTCCATGGGCCACTCATCATCTGGCACTCGGGGAGAGTCCTTTCCTGCCACTGCTGTAGAGCACTCACAGCTGGGTTGGCTGCTCTAGTGCTCCCAGTAAATTGTTCCCTCACTCCTTTTCCCAGTCTGGATGCTCACCACCCAACACACTCGGAATTTCTCAAAAGCACCAAGCTGAGGGGAATTCTCTCACAAGGAAGGCGGTTGTCCATAACTGTCCCACCTTTTGTCCTGAAATGCTCCCAGGACAGGGCTGTGTCTGGATCCTGTCACCAAGGAATAACAGAACTATTTCCAGAGGCAGGAAGGGACCAAGTGCCACCATGAGGCTCTGGGTCCAGAAGGGTGAGGGGAAGCACTCCCTGCTCGCTGGAAAAACACAGGGCCAGCAGGAGCAAATGCAGATCCATTTCTTACAACCCAGTGCCCCCAGTCCTGCCACAAATCCCAGCAGGGCTCCCACTTCAACCCCCTTCAGCAAAGCAGTGACCCTGCAAGGATCATCAYCCCAAAGGAATTAATTCCCATTTCCAATGTCACTGAAGGCAGAACTCATCCCTCCCGTCCCTGACTGCCCAGTCCAACCCCACAGCCCTCAGGGTTAACTGGGAGCACTGGGTAGGTGCTGCTGCCATCTGATAGAAAGCTGGGCTGAAAAAAAGCAATTTTGGGTTATGTTGCCTGGCAGRGCCCACAATTTCCTAGGATTTATCCAGCCTATCCTGTCAGTCATCCTTTCATCCCAAAGCCTCATAATAAACACTTGAATGAGAGAGGTGGGTTGGAGGGCTAGGGGTGGTGGAATCATGGAATCTTTAAGGCTGAAAAAGCCCTCTAAAACCATCAAATCCAAAAATTAACMCAGCACCACCGTGTTCACCACTAACCACATCCCCAGGTKCTGCATCCACTCGTTCTGGAACCTTCCAGGGAAAAGCAGGGTGGCAGRARAAYTGGGYTGTTYCCTCCTGCTCCTTCCTCCCTTCTGYCCTACAAGGATTTGGGAATCAAACAAAAACAACCAGGAACTTTTAAGTTTAGTAAAATCATTTATATACAGGATGGGTAATATTTACAATGTAATACTGATCCAAAAGGAACTAACAGGGAACAMTGAGAAGGAGAAATGAGAACATTTTAACACACAGGAGTTAAACATGGAGACAGATTCRGTTTTTCAAAAGAAAATCCAGAAGTAATGACAGCAAAACTTTTGATATGTCGCTATTTCCAATCAAAATCTCTTTCTCTAATCAAGTTCTCCTAATTTTTAATATATATAGAAAAGCTTCAAATAATCAAGTCACAGGAGAAGTCAGATATACAGAAAATTTTGAAAAAGGTCAAATGATTTCAGAGATTTTTCTTCACTTAAATAAAATTCTAAAAATAAAAAACCAAAACCCAACAACCTCCAGAGCTTTCCTACATCTTTTTAGTGTTCGTACAATCTTCTTTGATCCCACACATCCAGCTCAAGATATTTACAATATTCACAGTCTGCTATAAAGGATCAGTAGATTTATTACCAAGTCAAACCTCAGAGAATCAAGACAAAGTGTCTTGCACTTGCTTCAACTGAAAAATAAACTAAACACAGGAAGGAGAAAGTCAAATGCTACTTTAAAATAGGGAAATGAATCCATTAAAGTTATTRAACTTTGAAATGTAAAACAGAACTTTTCAAAGAATAAAAAAAAWCAGCTTTCTCATAGAAACAAAACCATTTGACCTTGAGTCTTTAAATTTCTTAACCTGTCCCTCCTCCCTCTGCTTCAGATCAGACCCTTATTTATCACAGACAAGATCCATCTGCCTGCCAACAAGTCCTGACTCCCAAAAAACTGCCTGAAGATTTTCCTCCTGGGAGGGCAGAGTCACAAAGTGSTTTTGGAGGGGATTTTTTGCTTTGCTGTTCAAAGAAAGGTGATTTCCTTGTTTCCATCTCTATTTGCCACACTTGAAAGTTTCAATTTCCAGAAAAAAAGACAAATTTCAAGTTCAAAATGAAACAATTTCAAGACATGACCTAGAATTAGAGCAAGGACAGAAATGCACGGAACAGGGCTTGGTGGTACAGCTAAGAAATGACAAAAACTCCCAATTTTTTCTAATTCTCTTCAGTTTTCATCAACAGGTCAGTGCACAAATATTCCAGATAGTGTCAGAGGTGCAATTCCAACTCACACAAACACTCCCTGGTCCCATCAGATGATGGATAAGCAGGCACTGTTCTTACCCTGCAATAAACCAGACATTGGAAAACTGTCCACAGGATTAAAGAAGGCTGACAGAGAACAGGAAACAAAGCATCTCCTTCATGTAGAAAAAACAAGTCATTGTTTAGAAAACTGTATAGAAAGAGTCAGACACTGCTTTGCCATCCAGCWAAAGCTGCAAGGAAGTTTTGGTATAGAAAAGAGACAAAAAAAGAACAAGGCTGGACTTCSGTAAGAGAGAATTGGGAGATTCATGGCTCAGGTTTGTCGATGTAAACCCAAAAATGGATGAGCTATGAAAGACAACAACGTTCAGGAGTGGTCACTGATGGCCCTGGGTTGGCACTTCAGTCTGCAGACCAAACTCACCCCATGTCTGCACGGGTTTGGTACCAAAATAGCTCTATAAAAAGCCTCCGCCCGGTCTCGAAAGAAAGAGAAGCAGAAAAGGTAGAAAACTAGAACTATGTACAGATTCTTCCTATTGGTTTGCTTTGTCAGGATTTAAAAAAAAAGCAGCTTTTGGAGCCAATGTTCCAGACTAGAGTAAGAACCTGCCCTGGGGGAGGCAGCCAAGGATGGCAAGGAGCAGCCCTGCAGTTTTGGCTCCCCCAAGAAGGAGCTCGAAGGCATCAGAGACGGGAATTTGGGCTCCGGAGGGGACACRGAGATGGATCCCAGGGGTTCCCCAGAGCACTGGGAACCAGCCTGGGAGCAGCTCTKCCAAACAAGAGAACAAGCCTGAACCAAGCCTTGGATTTTCTAAGAAGGAAAGAATGGGAATACAGGAGTGGATCCCACAMAAACAAACCCCAGGCTGGTCTCGGTTTGTAGAAGATCCCACCGTGGAAATTAAAATAACTTGTGCATAAGAATTAGAACATTCTTTTGTTCTGCTGTTGGATAACATGGGAAAAAAATAGTTTTATGCTGAGTGGTTGATTCAGCCTTAAAAAAAGCTCTGAGGGAGATGAGGAGGACAACAAAGAAAGAGAGTCACTGCTCAGAACAGAAAATTCCAGCAAGCACATGGCCTCAGGTGCCTGGGCAAGGCACCAAGCCAAACTGAAGGTTATTTAATTGATTTTTCTCTACCTAAAGACCTGGAATTTTGGTGCCAAGGGGAGCTGTGAATCTGTGYTTCACAGCACTTGCTTCACGTACTCACTGAGCAGGGGCTTGTGAAACTGTGGCTCTCCTTCGCATACAGTCACTGCAGGGGCTGGATGTGGCAGGTGAAAGGCAGCTTCTGCAACTGGTTATTAAGAAAAAAAATGATTTTTAACAATAAAATCCACCCCATTTGGGGGGCTCATGATTAACAGTACATAAGTGATCATATATACCTCGAGGAACTGAGTTTTAAAAAAATATTACAGTACCAATGATTTTTTTTTCTTGTATCTACAACTATACAGCATTTTCAAGCAGTATGGAAATTTAATGAAATAATTATGATTTATTAATTTACATAAAAATACTTTTTACAGTTAAAGAATAAATCTTAAATGGTAAAAAAAATAAGATTAAGAAGCTCCAGCTATTGAGAGTCGTGGGAGTTTGTCTGCTCTTCAATCACTTGTTTGACGATTTCTGCCAGTTTTAATCGATCCACTTTGTCTGTGAATCCTCTGCCTGGAAGGGAATAAAACAGGGAATCAGCTGGAGGTGGGCACAAGGAGAAAAGCAATCCTGGCTGGAATTAAACAATGCTTCACACAGACTTGGACACTTTTCACTGTCCCAGGTTGCTCCAAGTCCTATCCAGCCTGGCCTTGGACACTTCCAGGGACCCAGGGGCAGCCACAGCTCCCTGCCCCTCACAGGGAAGGATTTCTTCCCAATATCCCATCCATCCCTGCCCTCTGGCAGTTTAAAATTCCCCCTTTTCTATTTGTGCTGTTACATTCCCACACAATTTGGTGCCTCTGAAAATTCAACCCTAATCCTGAAATAAAAATTTCCAAGCAGAAATTCCACCCTCATTTTGGGAACACCCGTTCTGGCAAAAAAGCTGGAACAGTGGCAAAACCTGAATCAGCCCAAATTCAATCCATTTAGGGTTATTAGAGCAATAGGTCACATTCCCCATTTCCACATTCCCTGTGGGAGAGCAGCAATTCTCACCATTCCAGCTGAAGCTCTGCAGGGTGTCTCGCAGCAACTTGCACTCCCTGTTGTATTTCCAGGCCTCCTGCATCACTTCATTCAGCTTCTCATCTTCGTTCTCTCCTGTTTGGGACAGCAAAGGGACACAGGAGGGTTGGCCTCGTGCCTCAGCARACAGGGCAGTTATTCCTGCTCACCCCACACAAACCAGGAAATGGGCTTTAAACCAAATATTCCTGCTTTAAACTCCTTTTAACATCTCTGCACACCACTAAAATTCCACAAAAACCCAAAACCCAGCAATTTTGTTTTTCCTTCCTCACACTGACACAGACCGACCCAAAATTTAGGACTTTAGCTTTGCACATTTAGGAATAAAACGTTCTTAAAAGTGGCAACCTTTACCAGCCTGTGGTAGAATGCACTGAGCAATCACATCTCTCAGCTTCTCCAGAGCCACGTTGGAATCGTTGCTTCCATTCTCGGGGTCATGGATGTAAACACCATCCTTTGGCTTGGTGCTGCAGAAAAACAAGAGGGAAATAATTAGAATTTGGTCACAGCTCAAGCTCGTTACTGATTGTGTAACTGCTCCAGTATAAMACAGCTCCTTCCCTCTCTGGGAAACTGGGAGACAGGTTCAGCRTTAATTATAATTATTGTCCTATATTATGAGACCATTTTAAGCATGAAGAAAAAGAAATATTCCTTTAAATTTGTTCAAATAAGGGTAATCCTAAAATGCATGAGCCGGTTTTTCAGATTAACTCGAACACAAAGAGAAAGAGATTATCTGACTTTTTCAGTAAATATCAGGATGAGAAGAAAGATCTTGGAATTTTTTTTTTCCCTATTTTGCCTTTTCTTACATGTGACCCACCATCCCATCCAATACAAAAGACTACCCATCCTCCTTCCCCCCTCACTGGCACTTTGGCAGACAAACCACATTGTGCCAGCATTCCTTGCCTGAACAACACCAAGAGTGATTTAAACCATCAACACTGAGCCTGTGCCATTCCCAAAGCCATTTTCCAGCCATCCCAACTCCACATTGTCCTCTCAAACCCAGCTCTGGAGTTACCCCAGCAGTTTCCGCTTGCGCAGGATCGGGTTGTTCACAGAGTGAAGGGGTTTCAGGCTCACTTTGAGGTCTTGGATTCTCATGTTTGCAAGTTGTTCTGCGTGAGCCTGTTGTATCCCTGCCACCATGGCCTGCAAAGACAAAATGGTGGAAAAATTCATGGAAAAATTCATGCCATGGGTGAGAAAAAGAGGCACCAAAATCCGATTTGTTTTGAAGATGCGTAAGAAAAATCAGGTTTGCGTGAAGCAAGGCATAATTAAAAACATGGACAAAATATCCCAGGAGGAAACTGGATAATCAACAAAGGATCATCTCCTTCTCATGTTCACAAGATTGAGTGAACTCCTATTTGAGCAGAAATGAAAGGAAACAAGGAGTATTTGTTTAATTAGTGAGGTCGTTGCTGTCGTGGGGATAAAACACAGCAAAAAAAGGAAAGATCTATGGAAGATGCCTCAGGCTCTGCTCTCTACCATCAGCAYGTGGCTGCTCATTACCACCAATCTGGGAGCATCTCCTCCAAGCCCAAATTTCACATTTTATTTCCATTTTCAYTTCTGTTTCCATTTTCTCCCTAAGATCTCAGGCTCTCCTAAACCAGAAGAGAAGCTCCTTATCTGCACAACCCCACATCAAAAAAAAAGCCCTCCACCCATCCCAGAGCTCTCCTGTGCAACATTCCTGACAAAATAATTGCTGTTCAGACCTTGTCCATCATCAGCTGGGCAGAGGGCAGGATGTTATCCAGAGCCTCCGTGGAATTGAGCCAGGGATGGTCCAACACCCCCTCAATAGTCAGCCGTTCCTCAGGTTTGACCTTCAGCAGCCTGGGGAGGAAAGAATAAATCCCTAAGTAGGGGGTTGATGATTTACACAAAATTTAAGCATTTTAGAGGTCAAAAAAGAAGCTCCTCCAAGAGCTCAAACTGTCCCAAATCTGTCCCAGCTCCCTGACTGTGATTTTATGTTCTAGCTCCTCAAAATAAAAAAAGAACCTTAATTCTGAGATTGCTGAAAACCCCATGAAATTGATTTTTTCTAGCATGAAACCCTGGAAAGAGGATTTTCAGATAAACTTGTGTTCTCATTATGAGCATAACTTAAAAAAAAAAAAAAAGCAGAATTTCCCACAGGGTGCTGACAAGTTATCCAAAARTCTGAATGAGAACAGGAATGACTCCATGAGCTTGTCACACTTCCTCAGACAACTCCAAATCAGCTTCTTGGCTGCAGAGCACAATTGTTTAATGTACCAAAAAAGTGGAAAAAACTCGTACAAAATGTCAGCAGCACCACAGGGGAGCTCTGAAATCCCACTCAGGATGCCAACCAGGTTAAGTTCACTTTTGGCATTCCTTTTCTGTGGCATTTTCCAAATCCTAACCCATTATCAAACCTTCAGGTCAGAAATGAGCTCAACACTTAAGAGGCAGCAGCTGCCTGAATGCCAAATATGACCTCCAGCAGCCAAATTCCATAGGAAGAGCTGCCTMAATCCACAGAATGTAAATTTAGCTGGAATTATATTAAATCTGAATTTATTAAACACAACTTCAGACTCCCTGGTTGGAAAAGAAGCAGGAAAGGGAGTGCTGATAACATTAGAGGGAGAATTAAATGAACTGGATCCGTGTGATAACGTCCTGAGAGCTGAGTTTCATGGAAATTTTAMAAGACAATGAAACCTTTTGCCTGTGGAGTTACTGTGTGAGAATAAAGAGCTGACCTTGGTATAAAGRAAAGTTAATTTGGTGAAAGGTTGGGGGTTCTCTTGCACTGCTCTAAAAATGTCCCAGCACCTTCTCCAAACAATGGGAAATCCTTGGAGAATTTACAGTACATCTGAGGAGCCAGTGACACTTTTAAATTACTTCCCCAACTGATCTTTTTTTTCCTGTTTATGTTGCTTTTATCCCTTCAGTTCCTCTGGTGATGCAAAGGCAGTAAGTCCCTGTCACTCTTTCAAAAATAAGTGAGGTCAAGCCCTAATCAGTGCCACGTTCTTGCTCCCAAACAGACCAAGTCTTTGAAACACTCCCGGCTGAGGGATGTGCCCTGCATGGAAAACAGTCTCCATTAGCATTGGGAATAAAAAATCCATGCAAAACCTTATCTCAGAGTCTGACACAGATCTTAACTCCCTCTCCATCCTCTTGCCTGACTCTTTTTAGGCTCTGTGTGATGTGCACAGGGTTTTTAAGGGACAGATTTACCACATCCCATTAAAGCCACTTGATTTTCAYGGGAATTTTAATGTTATCCCAGGAAATCTGTGCGAGTTGTGCTATCCTGAAACCCTTCCCACTCCCTTTAAAGACTAAACACACAATCCACCCCAACAAAAGAGACATCAAAATTAAAACACTTGKGCAGGGAAATAAAAATATTTGCCAGGCTTGGTTTATGCAGAATGAGACAGAGAATTTGTCAGGTGGATGAGCTGCAGACTGGAAAAACAACCCTTGGGATAAGGCACTTCCAGGTGTTTTTCCAATTCTTAAACATTGAAACATTCCCATTCCTTCACACAAACACAGCAATACAGGAGTTTCCTCCACAGACTCACTTTCTCACAATGTCTTTTGCCATTTCTGAGATTTGGCTCCACTCTTCCTCTGGGAATTCAAAGCTTCCCGTCATGATCTTTTTCCTCATGTCCTTGGGAATCGTCCGGCTGTGGTGCTTGGAGTAAAAAGGGGGRTATCCACACAGCATCACGTAGATAATGACCCCCAGGGACCACAGGTCACAGCTCTGGAAGCAAGAAAAGGGTCACTTTGAGGAGTGGGGGAAAGATGATGAAAGTTCTGTGTGATTCTTTAAGGAAAAAGAGCTCAGCCTCTCCTCAAGATCCTCCTTCATGGAGAAATCTGCCTGCTGTGAACAACTCTGTGCTCAAAGCACAATTTCCAYGTGCTTGGGAATTGTCTGGGAACAGCCAGGGCTGGCAGAGGTGTGAGATGTTTGGTACCTGAATCCTACTCCCCCAATCCCATAAATGAATCCAGTTGTTTACAACGGGAGACTGAAAACAGCAGCAGAATCCAACAAAGGAGCCAGCAGGGATATTAAACCAGAGCAGAGTGTGATGAAAGCCAGGGAAATGGAGGAGCCAGCAGCAGGATTGGATTGCCATGGAAGGAYAGAGGACCTGGAAGCCTGTCAGGGTCTATTTTGGGGAACCAGACACTGCTTTTGCAGAGTCACACTCTGGGACAAGGCCCTTCCCTCAGCAGCCTTTTCACTCAGTGCCCTGCACAGCTCAGAGGGACAGATCCATTCTACACATGAAACGTGAAAAGAAAATCACTCCCACCTTGTAAATCCCAAATCAAGGGACAAGAGAGAGCAGAAAAACTGCGTTGAAAAATTACTGGGACCTTCTGAAGAGTTCTCAGATAGAAGTGTCTGCTACAATAATAAACCAGGACAGAGAAGAGGCAGTCAAAGCCCTGAGACAGGCAGATTTGGGGTGCAGACTAATTAATATTTGCTCTAACTCTCTGTAAAAGGCTACTAAATGCTAACATTGCTTATCAAATACCTGCTCAGGCACATGGTGAATTAAACAACCATTCCTGGACCTGGAATCAGGGCAGATCCTTAAACTGGGATCACAAACCAACTCACTGGAATTAAAATAAACACACCCAAGAACACTGAGGGATTCAAGCCCAGCTCAAGCCAGCAGGAGACAGTGATGACAATTCAGATGAAAATGTTTTGGAATGCCCAAAAAGCAATATGACCTTCCAGGATATTTCCTGCCGTGATTTTGCCAAGATTCCAGCAGCTACACAATAAATTCTTGGTTGTTTTCCAGAAGATCCAGGTACAGAGCAGCTTCCAGCCCAGCTGCCTGAACAAGGAAATCTCTGCACATCCAGAAACTCTGACAGCAGGAAAAGAGATTCCCTTTGAATAGAGATGAAAGAATTTCCCTCGTGGCCTCACTCCAACAGCCTCATTCTACTCTCTTCAAAATATTTTGTGCTCCTTAAGAGCATTCATGTATTTTTCCTTTAATTAGAGGAATTAATTAGGTTTGGACTAAGTGAGCATTTTATTATTTACTCTGTCAGTGGGGTAGGGAAGACTTTTAAGGATGTTGTTTCTCAGCTCACCTTGTTGTAAGTGTAAGGGGTTGGAGAGGTGGGGATAATACCAGACTTTTCTTTCTGATGTCTTCTTTGTGCCTCCAATACCTGGTGAGAGGGATAAAAGAAAAACAAAAATCCATCTCATGAACAGGCACCACAACCAGCAAAGCCTATGGAAATGATTTGTGATGGTTTTGCATTGAGGAAAGTTATTGTGGGTACTGAAGAYTACCAAATTCCTGTTTTTCTGCCTCAGAAGGACTGGAGCTTTCTACATGGGGAAAATACTGAATTTTTTTGCTGCTTTGACTGAAATCTCCAGTTCTGCCTAAATTAAAGCAACTGCTCACCACCTCCAACCCTCCATGCTTGGAACAGAACCTAAAGTGTGTTTGGAGGGTAACCCAAGCTCCAGAAATGTCCTTTTTTGCCTCTCCCAAGAATAAATCTCATCAAATCTGCCCCTTGCTGGTCCAGTCTGTGGGTTTGGGCTGCAGGGAGCCCCAGCAGGCTCCARCTGAGGAGGCATTTTCAGGGCAGGCTCTGATCTCTGAACTGCCCTTCCCAGTGATTAAAGGCTGCCCAGMACTGCAATTAAATCTCCATCTGCAGCTGCTTTTCATTTTCTCCAGGACTCCAAGACAAAGGACAGAAGAGAGGGGTGAAAGCAGCACCACAAAGAGCAGCCTGTGTGTAATTATAGATTGTGYTTAATGACACGGGGCCAGGCCAAGGTGCCCAGGTACCAACCCTCTGCCACTGCCCTTTGTGAGCAGTCACCTTTCCAGAACCTTTTTGTTCCTTTCTAATGGAATCCTGAATGAGCCTGAGCTGGAAGAAGAATGGCAAAGCAGGGATTTCTCCAAAGCAGCTGCTTTAATGCTGTTAAATCAAATTATCATCATCAGTGCTAAGCAGAATCTGGGAAATTTGCCTTACCACCAGATCCCCTGGTGGCTGCTATCCAATTCCTAAAGATTCCTGAACCCAGAACCTTTCCCAAAATACCAAAAGCAACCAAAATTATGTGATCCTGGAGGCTGAAACAATAAATAACCCCCCTTTAGGGCTGGAATTGGTTGTTACCTGAGGTGCTACGTAATAGGGAGTGAACTGGGGTGTCATCAAGTCACCTTGGTCTACTTTGGCAAACCCAAAGTCACACAATTTAACAGGTGCATCCTGAAACAAGGAGAAGAGGCTTCATTACACAAATCTCATTAAATCAGCTCTTCTAACACATAATTCTCCCCYTGTCCTCATCTCACCTTCGCCACACGTTGTATTTACACCCTCACACTCCACCAGGCAGCTGAAAGGTCTCAAACTGACCTTTCAAACCAAAGGTTTTGCTTTTCTGGTTGCTCTGGGCCTGGAGCAGCCCTTTCAGAGACTGAGAAAGCAGTGAGCCCCTTGCAGAGGGGGGTCACTGCACATCCAGGCTGACAAAGAGTTGTTTGGATCTATCAAATCCCCTCTAGGTAGTGTCAGAACACCCTGATGAGGGGACAGAGCAGATCTGTTCCTCAGCAAGGCCGGATCTACATTCAGCTGGATAATCTGACTCCAATTTAACAGCAGCAGCAGGGACTCGCTGCTCTCCAAGGAGATCAGGGGATGGAAAAGCACCAAGTCCATCCARGTGATTAAATTTTGTCACCAAAACATTTTAGCGCTATTCTGAGCGTCACCCTTGAGCCATTTTACAGAATTCAGCAGCAAAAGGAATTCCAAACGTTCATCTTACCAGAGAGTTATCCTTGAAGAGGAGATTCTCAGGCTTGAGGTCTCTGTGTGCAATGTTTAGTGAGTGGCAATGCTGCAAAGCCAAAGCTATCTGGAAAAGGGCACAATAAATCAGCTACAATAAATCACTGACCTCCTCCTGCAGCCTGGACATTTAATTCAGCTTTACAAAGGACATTTCCAACACAGATCAGACCCCAAAACATTTTCACTCCACTTGGGTGGAGCTCTGAGTTAGGAYGAGCCTGACCCTGCTGAGCAATGGTGCAGTGAAGTGACAATTGGGACATGAATCCCTCCAAGAGGGTTCAGTTTGCACTCAAAGCAAACAGAAAACTAAAGCCAGGTTGGTTTGGGCTTCCCAACCACCTCAGTTTGAGAATTCAAGGATTAAGAGCCTCCCAAAGTGAAGGAGGTGGTGCCAGTGCCCCTTYYCTGCTGTGCCAGGGCTCCAGGGCACTGTCCCTGCCCAGCAATTCCACCCTGCTCAACAACTCAGCACTGAGTTCTCACTTCAGTATTCCAGGGAATAATTGTTCCTGCCTGAAGATCTTACACTCAGGCAGTTTTATTCTTTAATTTTTGCATTTTACTCATCTATTGCACTTTATCCTGTGGATATCCCACAGAAATTATTTCCTTGATTCTTTCAAGGATACTTTAGGAATTTGCAATCCAGGTAGGAAAGCTGCAGGAAGAGCACATTTCCAAGTGCAATTAATTTAAAAATAAAGCCAAGTATAAATATTTAAACAGCCTTCCTGGGACAGAAGTGAGGCACAGCCTCACAACCCTTATTTGGAAACATCCCTGCTGGATTCTGTAGGATCCTACCCAAGTTTAGAGTCCTTAAAAAACTCCAAATTACTGTCACAAGAGAACTTCACTGCTCATTTAGCTCAGCAATAAATACAAACACATTCCCAGAGAAAATGAAGCAATTGCTGTGACAAGTTTTAACCCTTCCTGGGTACAAGACAAYGCTGAAGAACCGCTGGATAAAAGAATTTTAGAGAGACTTTCACATTTCAAACTTCATTTCTATAAACATTAAAGCAAGGAGTTACTTGAATAACCCAAATGTACACACATAATTCAAATCAAATCATGATTTCTGRTAAAATTTTACCAGATTTTCCCACCATGTCAGAATCAAACAGCTCAAAGGATGCAAAACAAACTGTTAAAAATAATTCTGTACTTCCACCTCATTTCAAACAGTACCAGCACAATTCATTTCATCAGAAATAAGGCAAAGCATGAAAGAAACATGAATTTTTTTGCCCCAGGTTCAAATATTCTCTCTCCAGCTGAGAACTGGGGATCCCAGAACTGAATTCCAGAATGATCCAAACCCCCCTGCAGAAAGCACCATGGATTATAAAATAAAACACTCAGGAGTGAGCTGGGAGAGAAACCGTGAAGGAAAAACAGCATTGGAACAAACAGACACAAAATCAGAACAAAGGCATTTTCCTTGTTATCTTCCAGAAATTCCACAAGCCCAAAAWCCAGCCTGAGGACAAAAATGCCAAGGGAGATTCCAGAGCTCAGGAGTCCTGCTGGAGGCAAAGCTTTTAAGACAACAGGAATGACAAAATTCTCTTGGAAATTCTCTATCCCAGGTGAGGAAAAGCATTGTTAAACACAGCAGACCCAGAGAACAAGCCCACACCTTCAATCCTTTATTCCTARTAAAGCTTTGGCATTGTCACTTATAACAAAGCAGGCAATGATCATCGGATCACAACTGAGGATTGTTGTTCTTTAATCCTTTTTCCCCACCCTCCCAGCCCCAGGAATTGTCCCTACTTTAGCCAGAGCTGATGGATTTGCTGGGACAGGGGGTGACTTGCCTGCTTTGTTACTTGGCTCGCTTGCTTCTCAGTAAAGTGYCGGTGCTGGCTGATTCTGTGGAAGAGCTCTCCCCCTTCCATCATCTCCATTACAATTAGGAGCCGAGCCCTGTTCAAAAGCATTTCATGTTGTTACGTTAAAAAATCATCAAAAAAGAACAGAATTGCTAAGCTAAGAATGCATATTTCACACAAACTGCTTTCTCTAGGCTGCTTGGGGGATATTTTGGTGCTGTTGTTTTGCCTTCAAGTGTAAAATTTGCAGGATTTTCTGGCTCCCAGCACTTCCTGATTCAGTGATTGGCAACCAGGGATGCTTTTCCTGATGGGCTCCCATTTCCCATTTGACCTTTTTTGGGATAAACTCTGCAGGTTCCACCCAGGATGGACCTGGACCAGTGAAGGGATAACTCTGCCCTCAAAGATAACGCAGCACGTGGATGCTTTGGAGTYTGCATCCCCTTAACTTTAATTTATAGTTTTATTGCCATAATTGTGAAGGATAACAAATAGGAAGGTGGAGCTCAGGACTGTCAGATCCTCAAGGAATTAACTCCCAGTTCCCACCACACAGCAAAATCAGCTACACCCGAGCCTCAGCTCTTTCATTCTCCCAGCTCTGATGATTTTTCTCCACTAAAATCCCATCAGAATTTAACATTTTTATCCTAACTGATAATACTGCATGAAAAGTCACTCTGCTCCATGTTTTCCTGTGTTCATTTTAAGCAGGACAATGCATTCAGAGTTTTCAGGGCTGAATTTCCTATGTTTAGAAACAATTCTTTCACACAATGCAGACTGAATCAATGGAAAACCTAAAAAAATGGAGATGCATTCAAAACAGGGAGTGAAGGAGGCAAAATAATTTAAATACACAAAAGTCAGGGGAAAAAAAAAGCAAGAGCTGCTTAGTCTGCAGGATAATTATTATACCTGGGACCCCCTTTAAATAATAATAATAATAATAATTTTGTGATTAAAACCAAAACAAAAACAAAAAGCAAACTCCACTATACCTTGGGCTAAACATGGAAAGCAAGCGGTGGGAATGAATCACCCTATGTAATCTTACCTGGGGCTGGATTCATGTGGGAACTGCACACTGTTAGCATAAACTTCAATTATTTGAACAATATTGGGATGTGTTGCACACATCATGTGCAGACGTACCTTGAAGAGAAGGGAAAAGCTGTTACTGCACACAGGGATGGGCACCTGAGCCCTGCACTGCTCAGATTGGGATGAAAACATCCCAGAGTGGCACCCAAATTTGGTACAGACCATGGGATCACACACAGAGCTCCAGGAAAAACCTGCTCTTTGAGTTTTTTAAATAAATTTAAAGATAGAACCAGCTTTCAAGTAAAAATGTAGATATAAATGGAACTGAAATTAATGAGTAAACCCCAAAATTCCATCATCTGGCTTTTTTCATGGCTCAGTGCTCCAGCACTSACAACACCTGGAACATCACCTCCTGTCCCAACATTCCAGAAYGGGGCACTTCAGCAATTTTCCCCAGTTCAAAGCTCCCTGAGCTGCTCAATCAAGCCAAGGCACAGTGCTTTTTATCCACAGATTATTTTTATGGGAATTTGGAAYGAGAATTTGCTCAGCAACAAGAAATGGAAGTTGCCTAAACCTTCAGGACAATTAAACTTTCTTTAAATTCCTGACAGTTTGGAGGAGCCCCCACCATTCCAGACTGACAGTTTGGCACCTCAGCAACTCCCAAACATTATCAGGAGCTGCTTCAGCTCCTGGAACCCAAATAAATCCACTTCCAGAGCAATTTGGAGGAATTCTTGGAACAGTGACATCCAACACTGAGATGTATGGAAACAAAATTCCCTCTCAAACTGATTTTGTCACATTACATGGGATGCAGAGAGAAGAACAGCTTCAAAATGTTGCTCAATTAAATATAAATAAATCTCTGGAATTTACACAACCAGCAAATGGGGGTTTGGCAGTGGGGTTTTATATTTAAAATATCCCAACAACTGAAGATTTTTTGGAGAGAAAAGCAGGAACTGTACCTCATTTCGAGCTTTTGGACGATCGAGRAGGATTTTCAGTGCAAAGCGTTCTTGGGAGGATTTTTTCATGCAGACTCTGGTATTACAGCAACAAAATCATTCAGTCAGTGAGGATTTWAAAAACAGACAGCTGAAGCAATTGATTTTTAGCTCTGAGTTTGCTCTCCACGTGGGAACTCATGGGAATGTCCCCAATCTGGGAGCATCCAGATCCCCCTCAAAATTCATCCTCAAAGAGAGATTTTGGATGGAAATAACCCAAAGCACACCTGAACACCCCCAGTGGATATTGTAATAAATAAAGTGTTTGGAATAAACAAAGTGGTTTGRAATGGAAATCTCCATTTGGGCTTAATTTTTTTTCATTTTTTMCCCCCATTTAATATCAAAAACTGAGGAAAGGGAGGAAAAAGCTGCCAAAAAAAATCAAAACCAAAATGGGGGTTTTAATGAAGACACAGCAGCACAAAAAGGATGAGGAGAAACCAACAGGCTGGACAGGAAGATAAGTGATGGGGAAGACAAAGGGAGCTCCCAGGAACAGCAGCACAGTTCTTTTCCAGCACAAACTCCCATTCCCTGAAGGGAGAGGAATTGCTGGAAAGGTGTTTTGCCTTCCAGAAGCATCCAGGGGTTGGAAATCCATGAGGAGCAGGGCTGGGATGCAAAGCCAGTGGAATTGGCTGCTTTGGGCTCATGAAGAGCTGGGAAAWGAGGAAAGAGGGATCCTGGAGCACCAGAATCCAAGGACAGGGGGGTCAGGAGGAATTTTTGGTGTCATTATTCCACAATAAATTCCTGCTCCTGCCTGGGAAAACACCACACAGGGAAGGGAGGAGAGCTTTTCCTTCCCACATTCCYCAAAAAAGACAAAAATCTCTCTTGCACATGGAACAGAGGCATTTACTGTTTAGAATTTTCAATATATCCCATCAGAAATCCTCACTGACTCCTCCACAGCTCAGGGACAATCCTGGAACATTCCCTTACCTAACGGGCCCACTGATCCCAGCTCCCAGCTTCTGAGTCCAGTTAATGTTGTATTCCTCTAAAATGGAGGTTTCCTGTTCAGGAAAGAGCAGAAAGGAGGAAAAAAAAACAGTCAATAAATACATAATAAATAAAATTACTACAGCCTTTAAAAAAAAAAAAAACCCTGCTCAGCAGATCTGGCTTGCAGGAAAGTGCCTGCTGGGGAGTTTGCTTCCCTGAGGAAAATTTAATATAAATAAATATAAATGCTYGTGTAATGATTTACCTGATTAAAATAGTTTCCACACAGCTGGGATTTTGAAACAGGATTATTGTGAGCAGTAAATGGGATTTTGTGTTTTTAATACCCAAAGTGTAACAAGGGCATCTCTCCCTGACTCAATTCCAGCTTCCTACCTGCAAATGATCAATCATAACAAAACAAGGAGCCCATTTCAGCATTTAATTTTTTTTTGTCACAAAATAAAAAATAGGGGTGGGTTTCAAACCTTTGGAACCATCACACTGTATGTAAATTAACCCCTGCATGATTAATTTTAGATTTTCCTGATAACAAACCAGGCTCCTTTTGTCCAAATCCATACAAACAAGGCTGGGTTTTGTTAAGCCACAGCTTGGGTGYTCTCAGGCTTAACCAAGTCCCAAGGCAGGCTGTAAATCCAGAGCTCAGGGCTTTGATTGATGCCCTGAGCTGGGCCTTTGTTCCTTTATTAAATTCCTGCCCGTGCTGGGGATAAATCACAGGAAAAGGAGCTGCTGCAAAAAGAAGCAGGGAAAATAATTCCCAAACACACTGGAAATTCATGGAAAATGCCATGAATTTGGCCTGGAGGGTTTATAAAAGGGTTTAAAAGGAAAAGGCAGAAAAGTCCAGAGGATCACACAGATCTGGGGTTTTCAGGAAGAGCTCAAAGAAACTTCTTATCAATCCAACTCAGATAAATTTCACTTGTGAGGAACCTATTAAGGAAAATCTGATTTAATTTTCCTGATATTCAACTGCAGAAAACTGAAAGCAGCAGGGGATGAAAACACAACTTTAGGAGGGCATTAATGAGCAGGGAAGGGGTTTATTATTTTAGAGAAAACGGCAACAATTTTATTCCCTGCACTTTCAAAATTTGGATTCCAACCTTCATCCCAAAAGCAGCTTTAAAATTCACAAGTTAAAATGTATAATTTTAATTCTGTCAAGAAACACAAATGACATCAAACCCAGGATTTGGGAGCTCTGATGCCCAGCAATGCCCAGCAACATTTTCACCTCCCAGCTCAGGAATGGCAGCTCCAGGAATTCACAACATTGGCAGCCAAAGTTTGGAYTCCACCACCTTGGGGGTCTTTCCCAAGCTTAAGAATTCCAGGATTTTAGTTCTAAATAGCTGGAAATGCTTAAAAAAGCATCAATATGTTTGAAAATATCAAAATTTTTTGACTGGAAAGCACAAAGRCTCCAAACTTACAGAATTCATCTGCTGGAAGGAGAGGAGAGGACTTCAAAAAAAAACCTGCATGGCTGCAATTCCTCCCAGGAAAGGAACCTCTGATCACTCCTTACTTTAATTTTCAGTGGGAAAAGGGGATCATGATATGAAATACATGGAATTAGAGAAGTTTCCCACCCACTTGGAGCTGGGATTTCTCCAGCAGCAAAATTCCTTCTCATCAAGAGTTTGGGAATTCTCCCAAAGGGCAGAGTCAACAGTCTGGGATGCTGGAAAAGCAGAATTCCCASAGCTCTCCCAGCTTGGATTGCACTGAGCTGCTTTCACACAGGGTCCCACACATCGGGAATGTTCTSATTTGTGGTTTTGAGAGKTTTTTTTTCCAACCTTAATGATTCCATGATTGCAGTGGATATTGATGGGAAAAGGTTTGAAATAAGGAGCTTTGGAAGGCAGAGAGTGACTTGGAGGAGTGCAGGGTGCTGCTGCTGTTTGGATAAATTCCATGGATCCAACAAGAGAAAACACCACATCCTGAGGAATTTCACCTCCTGCTGCTTCAACCTTCCCAAAACTCCCCAAAAATCACTGCCCTGAATCCCAGACCTTGAACCTGAGGTGAGACCAACCAAACCTGACCTAATCCAAGGATTTGAGAATCACAAAAATCAGCATAAAATATAAAATTATGGGAGAGATTTCAGGCTGTGCTCAGAATCCAGGGAGTTTTGGTTGAACTTCTCCAGACTGGGAGGAGCAGGAGCACAGAACTGTGCCCACAATTCCACAACTGCTTCAGCTTTTCAGCTTTAAACCCCAAGAGTTCTGATGGAAATGGAAATCCTGACCTTCACATGAAATACCACAGAAATAATTAAACCCTTTATATTTTTTTTTCCCCCAAAGCCTTCAGGCTGGTTCCTTCCCTTCACCGTGCCAAGAAAAACACAGGGAACAATTCTGACACTTGATCTCAGGGGTTAATTACAATCTTTTTAGATTTCCTTCCACTCTGGGGTTTTTTAGTGCAAAAGCCTCGTATTTTCAATATGGAAATGCTCAAGGACAGGTTGGACAAGGGTTAGGGGGAATGTGCCCCTGCTCAGGGTAAGGGGTGGAATGGGATGAAATTTAAGGCACTTCCAACCCAAATTTTSCTGGGATTAATAATTGCACAAGGTGAAAAACCTCCTGAGCAGCTTGAAAATAATGGTTTAAATCACTTTACCCCAAAAAGGAATYCTCCAGCCCCCACAGGAAACCCACAGAAGGATCCTGAGCTCACAGCCCAAAACCCTGGACCTGTTCAGCTCCAAACACACAAATCCCACACTCCAGAGCTGTTTTTTCCACAGCAGCACCTGAACAGGAGCTCTGGGAAAGCTGCCTGACATCCCAAGATTCGGAAAAAAGRAAAATTTGTCCAGTTTAAAGGAATGAGAAAGAGATTAGGAAACCCTGTCCTGAAACAGGGTTATGATTGCTGGAAAATGTGGAATGTGGAAAAATTCTCTTTAAGAACAGCTGTTCTTTGGTTTCATCTTTGTAGCCTCATCAATAAGATTTAATTTATGAAACACAGCAGATGACAGGCTCTGAGTGATGTTCAGGTATTAGAAAAACAAATTGGTTGTGGGTGTAAGGGCATTGATAAGGTTTAGGGCTTGATGTGTTTCAGTGATCTTAGATCTGGGGAAGGTTAAAGCTTGGGAAGGATTTGGACACAAGGAATGAGGAATTTATGGGCCACAAGGACATT